TATGAATCCCCTCAGCACATTGCTGGAGGCTTCAGGGCTGGGTTTCTGTACTTGGGAATGTCCGAGGGGTTAGGCATCAATGGGGCTGACATGAAACAATCGGTGCAGGAGCGCTTCTTTGGTCGCCTGAACAAAGTACTGAAAAGTGTTTTGTCAGGTGGCAATAAGGTGCGCGCCTTCAACGGTTGGGTCACGCCGGTCCTGATGTACTCCTTTGGCATACTCAAGTGGACTCAGACAGAATTGAACGCCCTGGACAGAAGAGTTCGCACACTGTTGACTGCAAACCGAATGCATCACCCACGTTCATCGGTCATGAGGCTGTACATCCCACGGAAGTGTGGACGTCGTGGCTTTTTAAATGCCAAGACTCTCCACAACCGTGAGGTGTGCAGCCTTAGGGAATACTTTTTAAAAGCTAACGTGGGTATGCATCGGGATGTGGTCGCAGTGGACTCGGGCTTGACCCCTCTATCCGTAGCTAAAGAGAACTGGCGCAAACCTGTAATAATGACAACAGATGAACGCAGGGAGGTATGGCAGAGCAAAGAGCTTCATGGACGCTTTTTCCGGGCGCTACATAGACCCGAAGTAGATCTCAAAGCGTCCGTGGCCTGGCTTCGATTCGGTAATCTATTTGGAGAGACCGAAGGTTTTGTTTGTGCAATTGCAGACGAAGTTATGATGACGAACAATTACCGAAAGTATATCCTGAAAGATAGGATGGTTGACATATGTCGGGCATGTCCTGGTGAATCGATTAGGCATATTCTTTCGGGTTGTTCTCGTCTAGCTAACGGCGAGTACTTGCACAGACACAACCAAGTGGCCAGGATTATCCATCAGCAACTTGCCCTGAAATACAACCTTGTTGCTTCTGAGGTGCCATATTACAAGTATGTGCCCGACCCAGTTCTCGAAAGTGGTCATATCACGCTGTACTGGGACCGATCTATCATCACTGACAGGACTATTGTTGCTAATAACCCTGATATAGTGAGGCACTCCATAATCCCTTGAGGCACTCCATAATCTTTCAGTTCCACCTCCTGGCTGATGTACGATCTAATTTTTGTGCACTGGGTACGATTTGTCAAATAATCTTTAAATATATCTAATACCGTTCCTCTGACTCCTATGGCTTCGAGTTTTCCGATCAGTAGCGGGATGGAGACGGTGTCGAACGCTTTGGTGAGATCCAAAAAGAGCCCAATACATCATTGCTTTTTGTCTATTTTCTCAACTGTGTGTTCAACAAGGGACTCAATAGCATCTTCTGTACTTTTGTTTTTCCGAAATCCATATTGATTGTCCGATATCAACTTATTATCTTCGAGAAAATTGGTTAAGCTCCTATTCAATATCTTCTCTATTATCTTGAAGATGGTAGGAAGCACTGAAATCGGTCTGAAGTTCGTCATATCATTCCTATCACCATTTTTGTATATAGGGAATATTATAGCTTTTTTGAGAGATCTAGGGAATTTGCCTGTTGTGATTGCCAAGTTGCAGATATGCGTGATCACTGGAATCAGCGCCGGACTTGATTAAAGAAGATTGCATCGCCTCGGGGTAAAATTGCATGGTAACACAGCACTTCCTGGAAGGGTAACAGCAGGTATTAGCCTTCCGGAGGAAATGACGACCTCCGTGGCTGACTGGTTTGTACGCCGGGTTTCATGGTCACGCCAACTCCAGAGGTCCCGGGTTCGAATCCCGATGAGGGCAGATGTTTGTGTGATGAATACGAGCACTTGTACTCCAGTCATGGGGATGTTTAATATGTATTTCTATATAAATGGGCTTGTATAAGTACAGTATATGTATTCTATCCGTTACCCTAGTATCCCATAACACAAGCTTTACAGTGCTTACTTTGGGGCTAGGCTAATTAGTGTGAGTGTTGGAAATATTTATTTTATTTTATTTTATTTATTAATACTTAACGGTGTATCAACATTTTCACATTTCGTAAAGAAAATTTCATGAATTTAGTTTTCTTTGAGTTATTTATTCATTCGGTACGTTTACCTCATACCTACTCAATTATCAGTGTGACTGGCGGTGAAGGCTATGTTATGCTGACTTCCGCGTAGTATTTGTTGCCGGTATCTTGTCGACGAAGAGAGACCAATCATTTATCTAAGATGATAAATCTTTGGTCATCCATCCAATGACCGACCACTGGAAAGTTGTTTTAAATTCAACGATTGCAGCTATCCACTTACGCCATCGAACTCCTCGAGTATAGTATTTAAAAAAGTGAAATGTACAAACTTGTCAGTTAGGGATCGGCTTCTCTTTATCGATTCAAGAAACCTTGACCGCAGTGTTTATGTAATCGGGACCAATAACCTCTCGTGACCTTTCGGGCATAATACATCACAATGAACTGATAACCAAGCTATTGGTGAGTACTATGCTATTACTTTACTCACTGTTTCTTTAGTTAAAAGAGACAATGTTGCGATGGGAAAAACGCAAGATAAGGGACCCCGCAGAATCCTTATCGAAGCTGGCTCTCGGCCAATTTTTATGTAGCTCATCAGCTCGGGATAAAGGTCATTTCAAGATCTGTGGGTTTTCATCGCTAAGACAGTATTGTTCTCGATTTGACCTTGAAAGACCAGATCTTGAAATGACCTTCATCCCGAGCTGATCGTGTCGAGCAGACATCGGTTTTGGATTCAGCAATCCAGAAAACATTTGGTTGTTATGGATTTTCACCACCTTGGAAGTATTTTTCTGGATTTGGCCTTGAACTGACCTTGATGCTGACCCGACTGGATCGAATAGACTCTGGATTCGGATTGTACATCACCAAAACTATTTCTGAATTCACGTTCAACAGAAACAGTATACAGCCGTACATTTTCGAATTTGACACGCAGTCTGTAAACTTTTGGCCATTAGGCCCTTGGGGTCTTTTGTTCCACGTGTCTAGCTATCATCTCCCAAAGTTACAGCAAAATTGGCCAAGAGCCAGTTTCCGTAAGGATACTGCGGGGTCATTTGAAAAAATGATTTTCATATAATCGATGGAAGAATGAAATGGCATGCAAAATTGTTTAAGACCGAAATTACATTTTTGAGTTTAATTAAATAAGGTTTTTTTTTTTCGATTTATTAACATCATTATCCTCCTGGCGCTCTATGCAGTTAACTGAGATTTGCAACACCGATAGTCTATTCCATCTAATAGGCTTGAACTCAATCCAAAATCTTGTAAAACTTTACTTAGCCCCTTACAAAAACACAATACCTCCAAAGTGGTCTCTCGCAGTAGTTCAATTAACCAAAAAAAAAAAAATTATTAGTAAATCAATAAAATAACAGAATACCGAGAATAATGACGAAAACAACCCCAGCGATGGGGACTTTAATGCGCTTACTTTGATGACTCGACGTGACGATGTCACGTTTATAATCTATATATGTAAGGTACAGTTTTTGAGGTTATTAAAAAAATAACTAGCAAACCAGTGAACCAAATGTACACCAAAAAAAAATGTATTTAATTAATTGAGAACTTCGGAGATTTTGTGTGGTTTCGTTTGAAAACCGGAAGTGCTACGTTACTCACATCCGGTTTGTAGTCTTATCAGACTATTCTCAACTTATAACTTAAACATTCTCTTTATCTATCTCTTACGGTTTGGCCGCTGAAACAGCACCACGGACGGACGGACGGACGGACTTGTCTAATAGATAAGAGATAATACAGACAATGCTAAGCTTAACCGAAGAAAAGAGAAAAAAAAAATTTCAACCCACCCTAATGTATACTCTAAGATAGAAAAACCTTATTGTCATTGATAATATATTATTAAGAATTCCAGCCAAAATAATGTGACCACCAGTAATAATAATTTAAAGTAGGTACCTTAATATAAATATTTTGATTTTAGTTATCTATTCACGAATATGTACTAAATATATTTAAACTTGCGATTAACGTTTGACCTCGTGACCCCGAATATCTGTTTTGACTTCAATTACGTCGTAAGTTAAAATTAATACAGATTTCCCCGAGAACTTATCGTAACTGTTGAAACTATTATAAAACGTCTAATGAGTATTGAAGATATAAATAAATAGTGTTTGAATGTAATAAATTAGCTGAAACTGATTAATATAAAATTATTTTTTGGTTTTGTTCGTCCGGGGGTTTCATAAGAAGCATGTATTTTCAGGGTTCTGTAGCCTAATGGCAAAAAACGGCACTCTTATAGATTCGTCCCGAAACTATAAGAACTATATTGTTGAAACTTGGTAAGATGAATTTTGTGAACAGCATTAAGATTTTCACACAAAAAAAAGAAAAAAAAACAATTGAGGGTTTTCCATACTTAGAACTGCAGCTCAAAATTTTTTTTTCCATCAAACCCATACATGTGGAGTATTTATGGATAGGTCTTCAAAAATGATATTGAGGTTTCTAATCTTTTTTTTCTGGATTGTATAGTTTAAGTGAGATACACTTTCAATGTGATAAAATGTGTGCAGCCCCCCCCCCCCCCCTGTAACTTCTAAAATAAGAGAAAGATAAAACTAAAAAATATTTGACGTACATTACCATGCAAATTTCCACCGAAAATTGGTTTGAACGAGATCTATTACGTAGTTTTTTTTTAATACGTCATAAATCGTAAACAGCTATTTTTTTTATTTTCTATTACCTTTCATTCTAGCAACTCAAATATAAAAATAAATAAAAACCATTTAATTTCATAAATATAAACGTTATGCATAAACCGTGAACCATTATTTTCTTATAATAAATATGTAATAGGTGCCTAAGTAAATAATAATAATAATTGGCGCGGGGGGCAGGATTTATATTATGTTACTTGATGCTACGGAACCCTTCATGGGCGAGTCTGACTCGCACTTGGCCGCTTTTTATTAATTGTTCTTTACATATAACGTTACCCGCTAAATTTATTAATGACAGCAAAATTATTTAAAAAATACTATTTACAGAGTACTAGTATCAGATATTAATATCTATTAAATTCGTTTTGGATAAAATCCCCTTTCCAATAAATATGTATTGCAAAAATATCTGTTTAAACACAGCTGCACAGAGTCGGGACTTCCCTGTGCCCGCGATCTGTGCTGATACGGCACCGTAAATAAGTGACTAATCATTACCCTAACGTATTGACATAAGATTCATTTTGCAATAACCGGCTAAACAATAACAGTATCTTCTCACATAAGTATATAACCTGAAGCGAGTTCTGTATTGTATCATTCACAACAAAAGCTTTGCATTCGCAACACAAGTTCACTCTTAGTATTCCACTTTCAAAACAAACATTTTTGAAAAATGAACTTCGCCAAGATTTTCTTCTTCCTGTTCGCCGTGTTCCTGGCAACATCAACAGTGTCGGCGGCGCCTAAATGGAAAATCTTCAAGAAAATCGTAAGTTTGCGTTTTTTAAGAAGAACCTCTTTTCTATTTTTTTTTTATTTTTAACATAATATGTTCTTGAACTGATGTTCTTTTTAAAAAGTATGGTTCGAATTGAAATATGTTTTAATAAATTGAGCATCATTGAAATAATTTTAGTGTAACTTTTTGTAATGCACAATAAAATTATTATGTCTTTGTTTAGCAAAATTTTACGTACTATAAAATGACAAAGAGTTGTTTACAATCGTGTTCACAAATCATTGAAAGTTAAAATTTGAGTAACATATATTTGTGATTAAGTTTAGACAAAAACAGAAGATTGATTTTATCTTTTTTTTTTTACAGGAAAAGGCCGGAAGGAATATCAGAGACGGCATCATTAAGGCGGCACCCGCGGTTCAAGTAATTGGACAAGCGGCCACCATATACAAGGGTTAAACCCTGCCCTCTCAATTGACATAATGCCAAAAGGAATACTCACTGTATTAAGTTAATGTTAAGTTATTATTTATTGAGTAATTATAAGCCAATTTTTATATAAATATTCTTTTTATTTATTCATTCCTTGATATAAAAAAAGTAACTGATGCGATGCGATAAAGATATTAGTTTTTTTATGAAAATACGGTCAAGTGAGGTGAGTCTCCTCTCCGTCTGGAGCCTCTAGACTAAAACCTGAGGGGGTAGGCTCAACAAGAGTTCGTCTCTGAGACTCTAACCTCGGCTCCAGTTAGCCGTTATCGTTCGGATTCATCATCATCATCAGTCTATTAATGTCCCCACTGCTGGGGCACAGGCCTTCCCTATGGATGGAATAGGGAGATAGGGCCGTGACCCACCACGCGGGCCCAGTGCGGATTGGTGGGTGCTAACGACTGCAAATGCAGCCGGGACCAACGGCTTAACGTGTCTTCCGAAGCACGGAGGAGCTCGAGATAGTAAATTTTTGGTCACCCATCCAATGACCGACCACTGCGAAAGTTGCTTAACTTCAACGATCGTAGCCGAACGCGCTAGCCACCTGCGCCATCGAGCTCCTCGAGCCATCGAGCTTTTCGTTCGGATTGCGATCGTGGATTGATTAATTTATTTTAATATAAGGCTCTACGAATTTCTATCACAATAGATGTCTATAGTCCAGGAATTACTTTTTTTAATTTGCTGTAAAAAGGCTTCAATGTAGGTCATTTAAATGCACATAAATACAAATAATCATGGAAACCGGTCCAGTGGTTTTGTCTAAGTACAATAACAAACTCGTACGTACATTAACATTCTTTGATTTGGGCACGCCTAAGGTTGAAAATCAGATATCAAAAAGACATTAAGGAGAGCTAATATTTTGACCAAAGACGTTGCTATGACAACGTAATAAGCACTATTTAAATATGTCAGTTAAGGCCACTGATCAGTACCACTACCACGAACCAATATCGAATTCGTATCGTTTGCGAGTCCGAAATGTCATTGTCAAATGTGTACTGATTTTTAGTTCTCGTTACATACTTTGTGTCTAAACGATACGAATTCGATATTGGTTCGTGCTAGGGGTACAGTACCCTTAGCACGAACCATTATCGAATTCGAATAGTTTGCTAGTCCGAAATGTCATAGTCAAATGTGTACTGATTTTCAGATCTCGTTACGTACTTTGTGCCGCTGCTGTTCAAGTTTGCATACAAAATTGGTTTCCATACATAAAAACTTTAATCAAAATTATGAATTACTGAGTAAGAGAGACTTATTGGGCCCGCAAATCATATTGAATTCGAGTATATTTATACACTGTCATTTTGAGCTATCTGAGAAATTGAGTAAATATATTAGTAAGAATAGGCACAAACTATCCTAAAATCTCCCTATTCCATCCATAGGGAAGGCCTGTGCCCCAGCAGTGGGGACATGAATAGGCCGATGATGATGATGATGAGGCACAAACAATAAAAGTACTACACTCGCATACAAAAATATTGATTTAGAAAGTCTACAAAATTTCGTATGAACGGCGCTTAAATAAGGTATTTTACAAGTTTTAGAAATCAATCTCACGTTATTGACTTATGTTTATGGAGTCCGTAAAAAGATGGATATTCATCATTCTGTTGTGTATTTCAGTAAAAATAACCAAATCAAAAATATCATATCACAAAGGCTACTAAGTCTACCATGGTCCAGTGTACTCGCGACGCCTCGAACCGTCAGAAATGGAAGCACATCGCCAGGAGAGCTACCCTCGGAATGAGGGCTACCGTTTTCTGTCTCACCAGATGGCGCCACTGTTGAGTGAGGTCCTAAATTGTAACTTTAAAAGTTTATTAACACGCACATGAAATCAAAGGTTACATTTAGATCGTATTTTAACACAAAAGAACCGTATCCTAAACATAATAGGCCATGCCACAGTGACGCGCAGTTCCGTTTTATTCGGAAAAAATTGGAACATAATCATTTTTCTAAGCTCAAATTTTTAATAACTGACATTCATTGTCACATCACTCATATTTGCCATAATTAAGCCAAATTGTTACCAATTATTCACAACATTATTTTAATTAGAAATAAACCCGCGTAGTCAACCAACAAGCAATAACATTTGACATTTCGGAGACCTCACGCTACACTAGCGCCTCTAGCGGCGGATTCATACGCGATAGCCCTCATTGATAGCGAACAACCACCCAAAGAACAACCCACCATGTACCTCATCAGTGCAACCACGACCACTTTGACAAGAGTGCCCGACTAAGAAGAACCAAATCAAAAACCGCATTTTCAAATTACCGCGAAAACGTTTCTCTGGACAATATGGCGTCTAACTAGTGTATGACTGTGACAAGACCGTTATTAAAACGTCAAACGATACAATGTAATGTCGCCTTAACGTGCGTGTGACGTCATTTTAGGCTCCACCAATCCCAAGCGTTTTGGGTCACGTGTCAATAGATAAGAAAACTATTATCGTTTTCGTGGGTTTTTAGTAAAATAATGAATTTTTTTTTGTAAAAATAGTAAAAACGCCTGTCAATATTCATTCTAAACACAGATGCTAACAATTGGCACTTTATTTTTAATACTGTCAAATACCCTATTACGGCGATCCTTAAAGTAGTTTATTTAAATCAAATTGTGACTACTAAAATTGTTAATTAAGGGTTCGTAATTACACAATTTATTGATTAAAGTGGAGACACTTATCGGAAAAAATATCAAGTATTTTTTTCGAGGCAATATAACCTTCGTCGATGTCTGAATTTGCTAGTAAATTTTCTCAGCTAACTGAAAATTCACGGTGTAATATATTGAAAAAATATTAATTCACATTACAGGCGGGATAGAGCACCTACACGTGTATAGTTATAATAGCAATTTACTCTCAATGTCTTCGATTAGTGAATGAAAGCTCAGCTGATTGTTATTATTTAAGGGTTCCGTACCCAAAACTAACAAAGGAACCTGATTTCTGAGACTTACGGCCAATCACAATCTTGTTCCGTTTCTGAGAAACAGTTGTCCTTAAAGTCTAAAGAGGGGGGGGAGGTGGGTAATATGTTTCCATACCAACTTTCTCGACTGATTCCTCCTTGATTTCAATCACTAAAGAATTGGTTTTATATACATAACTAGCGGCCCGCCCTCGCTTCGCTTCGGTGTAGAGCTGAAGTGTAGACTACAGTTTTTGTTCTCAGGCTTGTATTATACACAATGACATTCATTTATGATTCTTCTTATACCTGCATGCAAAGTCTTAGCCCAATCGGTTTAAAATTGACAAAGTTTCATACAAACTTTCATTCCCTATTTTATCCCCTTGGGGGTAGACTTGATCAAAATCCTTTCTTAGCGGATGCCTACGTCATAACATCTACCTGCATGCCAAATTTCAGCCCGATCCGTCCAGTGGTTTGGGCTGTGCGTTGATAGATCACTATGTCAGTCAGTCACCTTTGAGTTTTATATATATAGATATATAAACTTACTCATTCTATGCTCCTACGTTTTCCTTTTTTAGATGACTTGTGTTTCCAAGAAACTAGAAGCTCTCAAAAAAGGCCAAAATAATCATTTTTTTATTACCACCAAAGACGTCTAGTGTAGAAATTTAATAAGTATTTACAAAAAAAAAGAAAAACATAGAGGCATTACTATGCCTCTATGTTTACTATGGTTATACTTAACCTCTTTATATAATATATTGAGGAGCTCGATGGGGCAGGTGGTTAGCGCGTTCGGCTGCGATCGTTGAAGTTAAGCAACTTTCACAGTGGTCGGTCATTGGATGGGTGGCCAAAAATCTTCTATCTCGAGTTCCTCCGTGCTTCGGAAGGCACGTTAAGCCGTTGGTCCCGGCTGCATCTGCAGTCGTTAGCACCCGCCAATCCGCACTGGGCCCGTGTGGTGGGTCATGGCCCAATCTCCCTATTCCATCCATAGGGAAGGCCTGTGCCCCAGCAGTGGGGACATTAATAGGCTGATGATGATAACTACTTATTATTATTCTTTTTATTATTCTTTGTGTATTTTAGAAGTTATACTTCTTTAGGCGCGTTATGAAAAAATGATGAGAGTGAAATTTTTAGATGCGCGGGCATCACTGTAACCCAAAAGTAACAGCGTGAAGTTGGCCGCGGGCGCGTTATGAAAAAATCATGTGAGTGAAATTTCGAGATGCGCGCGCATCACTGTAACACAATAGTAACACCATGAAGTTGGCCGCGGGCGCGTTATGAATGTTAGTGTCCAATAATGGTGGATTATTAACCACTAAGTTTCTATATAGACACAAACGTGTTTTAGTTACTTACAAGTGCTAATTACATATGGACTAATAACTTAAATTCAGTAGTGATTTTAATTGAATATTTTGAATATTTATTTAATTTTCCAAATTAAAACTGAACTTAATTGACTGTGTTAACTATCCTTTTCCAGTCCTTTTATTATTTTATTGTAATTATTAATTATTTGCATGCAATTAAAAAATATTTTTTATGATGCTAAAGAAGTATAACTTCTCACGCGCGTACATAAGTTACACGCATCCATTTTTTTATTACATTTGTCTAATTTTCGAGGGCGAAATTGTCGAAAGTCAAACCTCCAATTTTGCAATATATACATAAATGCAATTTCTACTCTACTATTTTTGGGCGTGACATACATAGTTTTTTCTAATACCTATTTCTCAAATATCTCTCAGCTCGCGTCCGCTCTTAACGTCTGGTTTCCTGCCGGTTCTAGGCACGATTTTGCAATTTTTGTATGCTATTTTCAGCGACAACTACTGTTGTCCCTATCACAGAGTATTTGCCAATACGTGACAACAATAGTTTTTCCAAACAGCAATTTCACAAATGTCTCTCTGCCCACGTCCGCTTTTAATAATGAAAAATACTTAGCAACAAAGCTCTAGTAGGCCGACCTTTTACTGGAGTGTGATTATTGAAACTGGCCGTCAGTTGTCCGTCTTTCAATGATCCGATATTTCACCGCGCGTTTTATTCACACAATTCTCTTACACATTGAATCTTAATAAAAGAAGCCGCAAAAGCAGAAAATTCGCGCGGCATATTAATTTCTGTCTTGATGCAATCATTATCATCATCACATCACATCATCATATAAATGTTGGTAAATATAAATTATGGAGTTACGTTCATTTATTTACAAATAAGAAGTAATTCTTCGGTCTGCTCGTATGTCCGGCTGTGCTAATAATTAAATACTACATTTCTGCAGTTATAATAATAATAATAGTTTAATATATAAATACTTAACACTCTATTTAACTTATTATATAAGAAAGGACTTAGGAAAGTAGAGAATCCATGTGAAAAAATGTATTTTCAAACATGTGTAGAGATGCAGACTATATCTTTCCGCCTTTGTTAGTGATATCAGAGGAAAAAGATGAAATGGTGTGTTGTTTTAATATGGTGTGCTAAATAAAAAGCTGGCGAACAGATAACACATTACAGTATTTGTAAAGTTGGTGCATAGGATATAAAAGTTGTTATAATATAAAAAAATTGAAAACACAATATATTTTGAAAGGTTTTTAGGACAAACAATTCATTGGGGAGCACAAAAAATGGACCTTGCACTGCATCTTCTTGCTTAGTACTGTTTAAGTAGATAAATACTGCATTTACGAGCTTTTATTCAGAAAAGTAACTTTTGTCAGTCCCGTAGTGCGTCTGTGATTAGACCTTGCAAATTAAATTTTGATTATTTTCCGATTGAGCAGAAAATTTGCACATATGTATAATAATGCATTGCAGCTTAAGAATGGCTAGAAGAATTTCGACCCGGCCATCAGGGCTGTGGTAACATAATTGGTCAGTGGGAAGGGTGCGGGTTCGAGTCCCGTCTGCTGCCTGGTCCGCGTGGAAATTTTTTCTAGTTATATTTTCTTTAGCTTTAAACATCAAGCAGTTACATGCTTTAAAAACTAAATTATAACTATATGTACAAAAAATTTATATCGTGTCACAATACAATATTATTATGACATGGAGATCTAATATAGGAGCTCTAAGGTAGCCATAAGAATTCTGTAATGAAACGACGCAAATTCATCAAGATTGGACTTGTTTCTATTAATTGATAAGTACTTTGTATAGAAATGGTATCCAAGATTTGATGATGGAGCTGTAAGGTAGCAGGATACCTGGAAGGTTTAGGGAATCCGTCATTAAACGACCCAACCACATCGAGTTTGGGTTTGTACGATTCGCCTTAACGAGAACTATTTCTTTAGATGGTAATGGCAGGTGGTAAAAGAGAAAATTTAGGGTTGTATGTATTGTTTAGTACCACATTATAAAAAAATAAATAGTGTCCAAAAACAAATTTTAGGGTTGTGTAACGTAGTGTTCTATCAATTTCCTGGGATAACATTCCTCCTAACCCATATGAGAACACTACGTTACAATACCCAATAGTTTGAATTTTGGAGCTATGCGCCTTCGCGCATTGTAAGTGTCAGAACACTACGTTACAGGTGGACAACTATTATCACTTAAGGATATGAAAAAAAGATAGTAGCCGATTCTCAGACACACGGAATATGCATATAAAATTTCATAAAAATCGGTCAAGCCGTTTCGGAGGAGTATGGTAACTAACATTGTGACACGAGAATTTTATATATAAGATAAAAGCTTATCACCAGATTTAGTGAAGTGTATTTGTCGTCTAAAAAACACTGTTTTACAAATTGGGATGCCAGCAATCATTATAATCAATATTGACATTTTCATCGATTCGTCTCGAATTTTCGAAAACAAACTATTGCATCACTTTAAGCCTCCCAGTGTGCACTCGGCGTAGTTTGTTTTTTGATAATAATAACGTGTATAAATCAATAATAGCAGTAATTTTGATAGATAATGTTCTTGTTTTCTTTTCATTTTAATTAATGTTAAACGATATGATATAAATGTTGTGTAAATTTATAATTGGCAAACATATGTAAACAGTAAAACTATCCTCTTTATGTTATGAATTATGAATGTCTTGTATGTTATGCTGACCAAAAATTTACTGTCTCGAGCCTGGCTCGGTCGCACCCTGAAATTTTGGAGGGGGTCACTCACTACAGTAATAAAAAATAGGTATCTGGAATAAACTAAACATTATTGCACAAGACCCAATTTAATTTTATACATTACTTTAAATAAAATATTGTTATACAATCTTTATCATAACGACGCATATCGATTTTGCTAGGATTGCCAAAACTACGTAGTTCGGTTCCTTGTTTCTAAACTAATAGTAGATGTCTTTTCCAAGTTATTTTGGCCATCATACGTAGTTCATAAAAACACCACTAAATGTTAACAAACTATAAATTTATCGCTGTTAGGGGATAGCTAGAAATTTCATTTTATTATTTTGCAAATTTTTGAGATTTTTCAATTTGACTTTAGATTTGGGGGGGGGGGGGGGGGGTCAAGTCCCCTGTTATAATTTTTTGGTTGATCATCATCCCCATTCTAATTTGCTGTATTATGTGCAATATATTAGTAAATAAAAAAGAGTATAAGAAATAACCTTACAATAAGCGGTGCATAAGGCATAGGAGATTGGAGCACGCATGCATCATTCATATATATATATATATATATATATATATACTAGCTTCGCTTCGCTTCGCTTCGGTGTAGAGCTGATGTGTAGACTACAGTTTTTGTTCTCAGGCTTGTATTATACACAATGACATTCATCTATGATTCTTCTTATGCATGCAAAGTCTCAGCCCGATCTGTTTAAAATTTTCATACAAACTTTCATTCCTTATTCTATCCTCTTGGGGGTAGACTTGATCAAAATCCGTTCTTAGTGGATGCCTACGTCATAACATCTACCTGCATGCCAAATTTCAGCCCGATTTGTCCAGTGGTTCGGGCTGTGCGTTGACAGATCACTATGTCAGTTAGTCACATTTGAGTTTTATATATATAGATATATATATTGTCGTGTGTGACGCACGTGACGCTCGTAGCGTTTCAGCCTTCGCCGCGTTACCTTCCAACTTGCATGTGCTGCGCACGCATCGTACACACACACATATATACATATTTCCGTTTCATATTTTCCATTGGATTTTTCCATTTACACCCCGTCCTAAAACAAGTTTCATTTCAAAAATATTCCTATGCAGAGCATTTATAATTTCTTTTATATGAAGCCAAGGTTATGATTGCCATTCAATATCAAATGACCTTTTAAAAATTCACTACTGATGCATTTGTTTTTAAGATTTTCGTACCAAAGATACAATGGAAACAGTTCTCTAAGCCACTGTTATCCGTTTGTCTTTGAATGGGTACTGCGGCGATCTACCCTGAAGTGGTAGACCCTGGGAGCATAGCAATAATAATTGAAATAACTTGGATTTTACATTTTGTTTTATTAGAAATCTGGCAAATATGCTTATATTCGCCTGATTTCTAAAGAATATGCGAATAGCTTAATCTATCAACGTATGGTTTGGTGCCTGAAGTCTATCTTCAGGAACCTTCTATCGAACGACAGAAGATTCCCAATTTCAAATCTTTAAAAATCATGACATTACCTTTTTAATATAACTGCCAGCCGTAGGCATTACATGAACAAAGAGTTTACCCAAACAAGGAGGCTGTAACGCAACGGACGTTACAGTACCGTATTGAGTCACATGAATCGTAATAGCTAAACATTTGCAATTTTCATTGAATGTCAAATTTAATAGCCTTCTTAACAACAACATAGCGAGCCCTTACCGCCAAATTATCGTAAGCGACACTCGCCAAATTATCGTAAGCGACACTTTTGTCGAAATGCGTTTTTTGTGGAAACTAATATTTTAAACCATAACGGACCCATCTCTGTTGATATTTCCCTCTATTCTTCCCTCTATTATATTATAACGGTGTTCTTTTGGAGGGAAATATCAACAGAGATGGGGTCCGTTACGGTTTAAAATATTAGTTTCCACAAAAAACGCATTTCGACAAAAGTGTCGCTTACGATAATTTGGCGAGTGTCGCTTACGATAATTTGGCGGTAAGGGCTCGATTAGGATAAAAAAGCATTCAAGATTGAAGAAAGGTCTTTACTTGATTTTTTATAATGGCTATATTTCAAACGTTAAACCTTGTAGTTAAACCCTTGTATTACCGGTTTCATAAAAACATTCCATAACACACAGTATCAGCTCTAACTCGTTATAAGATTGGAGCAATTAATTGTGAATTTGTGAATGACAAAGAAAAGAAAACAAAATAGGTTGATTTATATAAAATTTCTCTATAATTACGCAATAAATAATAACCTTACATTAATTTAATACAATGAGTATTCGCTTTGGCATTATGTCTATAACAAGGTCAGGGCTTAACCCTTGTATATGGTGGCAGCTTGTCCAACCACTTCTACTGCGGGTGCCGCCTTGATGATGCCATCTCTGATATTCCTCCCGGCCTTCTCCTGTAGACAAAAATAAGGATTTCATAAGTTCCAATTGTTTTATAGCGTCTTAAAAATCAAACACCTGAGAATTACTTAACGTTTGACTTGAAATAATCAATGTATTAATAATTCATAATGTAATATGTATTTGTATGTATTTGTAATGTATTTTATAATGTTCTGGAGTGGAGACCGCGCGCGCGGCACGATGGAGTGACGATTTGCGCAAGGTGGCTGGCAGGAGCTGGATGCGAGTAGCCCAAGATCGATATGAGTGGCGTGCAATTGGAGAGGCCTATGTCCAGCAGTGGACAAGGATGGGCTGTTGATGATGATGATGATGATGAATCAATGTACACAACAGAAAACTACCGAAGGTTAACAGTATTCACGATTACGACGTAATGTTTACAAAAACTGAAACTGTGAATTCCTAAAAGTTACTACTTTTTTCATTGATTAATCAATTAAAAATAAAATCAAGTAGCAGAAAAAATTAAATAAGTTTAAAATTAAAAAAAATGCTTCTAATAAAAATATATGGAGCAACGAAAAAAAAGTTTTGAACTAAACTGAATTGAGGAGCTTGATGGCGCAAGTGGTTAGCGCGTTCGGCTGCGATCGTTGAAGTTAAGCAACTTTCGCAGTGGTCGGTCATTGGATGGGTGACCAAAAATTTACTATCTTGAGTTCCTCCGTGCTTCGGAAGGCACGTTAAGCCGTTGGTCCCAGCTGCATCTGCAGTCGTTAGCACCCGCCAACCCGCACTGGGCCCGCGTGGTGGGTCATGGCCAATCTCCCTATTCCATCCATAGGGAAGGCCTGTGCCCCAGCAGTGGGGACATTAATAGGCTGATGATGATGATGAATTCAGAAAAAAGCTTGTTACTCACGATTTTCTTGAAGATTTTCCATTTAGGCGCCGCCGACACTGTTGATGTTGCCAGGAACACGGCGAACAGGAAGAAGAAAATCTTGGCGAAGTTCATTTTTCTAAAACGTTTGTTTCGTAAATGGAATACGAGGAGTGAACTTGTGTTGCGTGTACAAACTAGTTGTTAATGATAATAATGCTGAACTCGCTAAAGGTTATATACTAACTTGAGGAAATACCGTTATCGGACGGACGGTTATTCTAAAGTGAAACGTATTTCAATACATTAGAGTAGGTAATAAATAGTAAGCTATTTACTCGTACATATCCGTATCACCAGAAATGGCGGGAAGAGGGAACTCCCAGTTTTATGAATCTGTGTTTAATCCCTGTGTAACTATTTCTTGGAACTCCACTGTTAAGAAAAGGGATTATTTCGAAACAAGTTATTGGATCGTTATGCGCGTTTTTGTCATGGAAATCGTTCTTTTTTTCTGTTGACTATCAGAATCATGGTATACTTCGTACCTATTTGTCCCAGTCATCAGCATCTCTACCCTTCGGGTACGCAACAATATGAAAAATTTCACAGTACAAGCGTCTTTTTGAAACAAAGCTTTGCAAATTTCCAAAACGTTTTTATAGAGATCATAAACAGTTAAGGGATGCGCAAAAAAACTAACCTTTCCATCGCCTGCGGCATAGTTGTTGATAACTCTTTGTATTTTTTTTGTTTCATATAAAAAGGGAATACAAATGAATGAAAAAATTCAGAGACAGCCTTTTTACTAAATAAACTCAGAATTTGGTAAAAATGTTTAATATTAACAAAATCACTAGATAAAAAATTCACTCGATCTATTCACTCTAGGTATTGGAAACATAATCTTTTTAGTAAAATAATATTATTTTAGATTTAGAGATCCGGTTCAATATTTAAAATGACTATTTAATATTTATGAATACTTATACTTTATTAACAATTACCAATAAATTGATCCTTTTCTTGGTACACCGCCGCAAGGTTGCTTGCTTTTCTGTTTCTTCACCCTTCTAATGCCTCCTCAACACGTCTGCAGATGCCATCTTCCGATGCGTCCTTCGACATGTAGACGGGGTAGTTTGCGCGTCTGTTGTAGGTATTTAACGTCCGCAGATACGTCTGCCATCAAATCAATTAATGGAATAAGGTGATTGGATCATGACTCGCCACGCGGATATGTGTGGATTGGAACGGAAACACAAAACCACCAAAATGTAGTGTTATTTCACTGTCTCCTGTGGAGAATACTTCCCCAGACGTGCGTACGTCTAATTCGAGCGCAAATCCCGCTATGCCGTTCCCCCCCACTCCCACCCCCCACGACAACGGCTAACTAGAGCCGAGGTCCGAGTCTCAGAGACGCCCTCTAGTTGAGCCGACCCCCTCAGGTTCGAGTGGTCTAGAGGCTCTAGACGGAGAGGATGCTCTCCTCGTGGGGAGATGCCATCCGCCTGAAACACCTCTAGAGGCACTCGCCAATTCTCGGCTTGAGGTCCCCTTGGGATCTCACCGTCCCCAAACCCGGTGACGCTGTAAAGGTCATCTGCGACCAACAGCATACATTCTCAAACAAAAAGGACCTACATGATTCAAATTTCGAACGCAAATTTTAGCGCATTTAGTACCAAAGCAGCCTAAAGCTTTGTCTCGCAAGAGGGGTTGAAGTGTAAAAAGCGCGCGGAGTTTAAAATCTGCGCCGCGGTACAACAGTGTCTGTGCATATTTGCATTCGCGGCTAACTTCACAACTGCCATGAAGTATCAATCGCACTATGCAATCAAATATTAATCACATTTTTATACCCCCGGAAAATCTTTAGAGCAACGACCGTAGTCAAAGAAGCCTGCGTAGACGCAATTTTACATACAAAAACGTGTACTACGCATATCCACTGTGGTCACAGTCAAGTTTTGGCGAGATCGGGACGCGTCACTTTAGCAGTTTTGTTTTTCTTGTTAAAAATTGTGTTGTAGCGGATGTAAGTGTCTAATAATGGTGGATTATTAACCACTAAGTGTTCGGGAACATGCTCAAGTGTTGGCAAGTGAAACAAAATAGCGGAAAGTGTCTTTCGACGTTCCCTAAAGAAGTCCACGGGGAGGTTCCAGTATATCCCCACACTTTTACTGAAACATAGGGAAAGGGGGATTGACTTGACTGCCACTTACTTTGACTTGATTTATTACTTTGACCATGAGTGCTATAGTATTTGTAAACATTTTAACACTTGACATTGGCTAAATGCACAAACCGTGCAAAGCCATTTAGAAAAAAAAAATAGATACATTTTAAAATTTTACTACTAGAAAAGTAAAAATGCATCGCAAGCCGCGACAAAAGTTTGTGGTGTTTCGAACTTAGTTTAGTGTCTGTGAGAGTAGCACAAATTTGGTTTAAGCGTTTTCAATTAGGCTATCTTTTCACTGCCAAAACCACTTGTCGCGGGTTTTTGATTAGAAGCCCCAAAATATCTATAGTAATGGGATCATGTCTCTACTTTCAAGATAGCAAAAACTTATCGGACAAAATGGCATCTTACATACTGTAGTTATATGTAAATAAAGTTAAAAAAAAAATAAAAAAAAATATTAAAAATATTAAAAACAAAATTAATAAAATTATTTATATTATTAATATTAAATTATTAAAAAATGTTTTGAATTTCCATATAGGTAAAATGCGAAGAAACTTTTTCCCCAACCGAATGTTTCGAACAGTCTACTACCCCACATGGTTACATTGGCCGAAACAAATCGGCTCTGGAAACCTTTATTACTCCAGCAAAAATACAGCTTATTGAATAAATAAAAATAAATATTTTTCACACTCACACCAATTAGCCTAGCCACAAAGTAAGCACGCGAGGCTTGTATTATGGGATACTAGGGTAACGGATAGAATAAATACACTGATACGTATATAAGTATTCTTTATCTAGAAATATATAAAAACATCCATGACTAAGGTACAATTTCTCGTATTCATTACACATATGCCCCCACCGGGACTTGAACCCGCGACCTCAGGAGTAGGCGACGCCATGAAACCCGGCGTATATACCACTCGGCCACGGAGGTTGCCAAAAGAAGGTAGACTACTAGTTAGAATTCGCATTATTTTGAGCACTAATTCAATCTTTCTAAAGAAATGGGAAGAAATATTCTAAGAAAATGCAAAACTGATGACTCTGTAAATAATTGGCAACATCTTTTATCAACTGTAGTCAGGTAATGACATAATAGGAGTTCTTATAATTTGTTGTTGTTTGGAGTTCTTAGATTGTGACTTTATCCAAAGTTCCTGAGCCTTTTTTCATAGAAATTATGAATATTCAGCCATTTACCATTAAAAATTACTAAGTACAGTATTTATACATTGCCAGGGCACTCATACAAAACTTTACCATGTCCTTTGTTTGTTTTATGCGATTTGGGTGAGCAACCGTCATAGACAAACAGAGTTGCAAGTCTGATGTCAACTCTTCAATTTGACGATACTCTATAAAATAAAACAGGGAGAAAAAAGCAGCCATTGCTGAGTTTCTTGCCGGTTCTTCTCAGTACAAGTTCTTCCGCCGTAGTTTTGCGAACCGATGGCGCAGTTTCCGACTTTCACATATATTAAAAATATGCTTGTAAAAGCCTAAACTGAATAAATGATTTTTGAATTGAATTTAATTGAGTTATTTTCGAATATATAATATTTGTATCTTAACCTTGATGCTATGGCAACCTGCAGGCCGGCAGGGTGAGGATGGCTGGTGTGGCAGGTAGTACTTCTGTATCAGCTATCTTCGCGTCTGGACTTCATTTTCACTTATCATCATTGGGGTGGAGTCATTTGTCGGACCTATCTATAAAAAAAAAACTTATTTTACAGCAAATTTTTATAGCAAATATAACATTTTATTTTATAGCAAATCCAAGTTTTTTTTATGTAGGTATGTAATTAGTAACATCTTCGGTAGTGTCGTGTGAGGCGGGTCGTTATGTACCCTAAAATATGTTTGAGCGAAGCGATGGCTGGTTTTTGAGCCATGCTCGTGAACGGCTGCTGCCAGCGGGGATGAATATAATAACTATTGAGTATCTGTTTTACTTAATACTGTTTGTATTTGGCCTATGGCCTAAAGTGCTAGTGGCCCGCCCTTGCTTCGCTTCGGTGTAGAGCTGTAGTTTAGAATATCGTTTTTGTTCTCAGGCTTGTATTAAACACAATGACTTTTTTTAAATATCTAATTACTATAGGCACGCAGTACCGCCCGAACCGGTATATTCCTGCATTTTAAATCTGTAATATCTTCGGAAATATTCATTTAAATTACATGCTGTACAGGGCCTTATTGATCTATAATACATGCACAATGTATTTAAGGTACTTAATTGGATAAGGATTAATGCTGTATTGCTTAAAATCGCTTTTTCGTAAATAAGCCATTTTTTCGTAATAAGTAATAAAAAAATGGTTTTTGTGGGTTATCCCTAAGTGATGAACATGTACCATTGCGGACTTTTTTGTAGACCTTTTTAAAGTGTACAATACTGTAGTACATTATTTTGATCTATCTCGTAGGGTTCAGCCAGCGTTTGCAATGTAAGCACAAAAAAATTAGTTGATGTACGACCTTACATTAAAAACATCTAAAATTATCAGTGTTTCTCTACTATATTATACATGTATTATATATATAAACCTTCCTCTTGAATCACTCTATCTATTTAAAAAATCATCGCATCAAAAGCCGTTGCGTAGTTTTAAAGATCTAAGCATACATAGGGACATAGGGACAGACAGCGGGAAGCGACTTTGCTTTTGTACTTACTATGTAGTGATGACACAGCAATCAAATCGTGAGTGGACGTTGCATTGTTTGTTTTTTCGTTAATGTTACTACTTCTCTTAAACGCTGATGAGTTTGTTGAGCCCATTCTTCTCATGAGTTAAAAGATATTTCGAAGGGATGGTAGGAAAACACGGACGATTAAAAAGAGGTTTCAATAACTAAATTTGAATCCCACCAAAAACATTCTGTAAAAAACTAGCCAAGTCTCGATGGAGCTGCTTGTTTATCTCTAAAAAGTAATGAAATCTAGACAAAGTCGTGCCAAGTCTAAGGTTCCTTACTGCGATTTCTTTATTATTATTGTTAATGTTGTGTGCTTTAGCAGTTGAAAGATACACAAGGGGACAAAATCAGGTGCTACATGACACCATTCCCTTTATGTGGGCATTAAACCCTAACTCTGTGCCAAATTTCAGCTCTCTGAGTTTATGGGAAGTACTAGTTCTATTCTGATGATCATGAGTGAGTGAGTGTCATAAATGCGGAACTTTGCTTTCGCTTAACTTCGGAACTAAATGACCCACAGGCTTGAAATTTTGGATTTTAAGTAAGTTATTACAGCTTACTGGATGACGAAAATTTCTGCGTTCTGATTTTATCGAGAGATTCTCAAATAGGGGCCTGAAAATGCGGCGAAATGGTTCCAGTAAAGGATGGTACGGCAGTATTTGCTTCGCGCTCGACTTGGCGGGGGCACTGCCGTGCCCCCCGATAAAGTATGTGACAAAATATAAAACCAAACATAATTTTATAGAAAAACTTATTTATTATATAAATAACTTAACAATAACTTAATCTATTATAATCGAGGTTCAGTCCAGTCTAAGTATACAATCGTAACTTATTTTTAATATTAACTAACATTTTGTCATGTAGGTGGGCTCATAAGATTTAACCGACTTTGTAAATGGAAGCCGCTTGACCGACCACTTCTACCGCTGGGCCAGCTTTGATGATTCCATCTCTGATGTGCTGTCCTACTCTTTCCTGTAACAAAGAAAGAAACAAATGAGCATAGAGAAAAGGTACTAAGGATCTCAAATTTTGCTTTTAAAAAAAATATTTAGTTCGAAATTAGAACTAAAACCAATTTTAAATATAAGAAAACCGGCCAAAGTAAGGGTGTATTTATCCCATCGTACACTTATACATCTGAAAAACATTTGCACTGGTATTGAGCAACAGGGTTCTTTAATAATTAAAACAGGTTTTGTTTACGACTTCTTGTTATAGCTACAATAATTAAATATTCTGTGAAAACTTCTTCTTCATACGGTATATCAAATAAAGTCCACAAAGTAATTCCTTTTACTTCATTGTACCTCTCCTTTGGGAACGAAAATCATTAATAATTCCAATCAAAATTGGTTTGGCTCGTAAACAAATTATTTCAAAAAGTTGCAATGAAAAACAATTGGTTTAAACAAATTCAAACAAAGAAACTCGTAAAAAGAACACTTACGATTTTCTTGAATATTTTCCATTTTGGCGCCGCCGACACACTTGAAGTTGCCAGGAATACGGCGAAGACAAACAAAAACATCTTGGCGAAGTTCATTGTTGTTCGAATTAAATAGTACGAGACTATCTGTTGAGTATTTGAATTTCGAAGTTTCGAACGTGGGCAAATGCTTTGGAACGATTGATGCTCTGCAAAAAGCTCGCAGCGTTAAATAGTTTGAACTCGACCGTTAGATTATAGCAGTCGCTTGCTCATTACTTGCTGTAAAACAAGCTTTATTGTGAGGAGTTAAGAGCTACGTTGTGTTATGACTAAGTCATTTGAACGCAGTATATTTGTGTCGGTTCAAAGATAACGGCTTTATGAGAAAGAGGGATGCCCCGAGCTCGGTGATAGTGTTAATTCCCCTCTGGGTGTTAAGAGGTCATCAGTTGCGTTGAGGTCTCTATAATTATCGACATTTATTATTAAACAAACTTATTATCACTGAAAGACGTGGTAATAAGTTTATTTACATTAAGCACACGTGAAATTGACGTGCCGTCTTATTATTGCTATTGCGAAGAAAGTTACAGCATCAACTTTAATGAAAGTTAAGCTGTAATTGACGTCGCTGAGTGCAGCGTTTATATTTGAATTAATGGAGGTCAAGCAGGAAATCAATATAGCAATGATTAACGGTCGTAGAATTATAGAAAAAATCGTTTACTATGGGCCGTCATAGGTTTATTAGGATTTTAACCACTGAAACAAAGTTATGTTTATTTTTTAAGCATTTAACTGCTAGATGTTCAAATGTAAAGAAAAGTTTTACTGGAAAAAAAAATCCACGCGCACCAGGCAGCAGACGGGACTCGAACCCGTTTTTTCTAGTAAAACTCGTCTTTAGATTTAAATATCTAGCAATTAAGTGCTTAAAAAATAAAAAAAATATAGCTCCAATTGCTACTTTTTCTTTTAAATGTTTAATACTTGTAAAAGTATTCATTTCACATTGGAGGTTACCTACAATGCGAAGAGATGGCGCTGCCTCGCAGCCTAAGAGTAGAGAAAAATCAACACGGCCGCCAAGGCCGCGGTAGCACAATGCTCAGTGCATGCGCCCGGATAGCGAAGGGTGCGGGTTCGAGTCTCATCTGATGCCGGGTCCGCACTGAAATAAAATTTAAAAATTATTCAAATATCGTACAGTCATCAGTCGTGTTGACGTACATCACAATTTTAGGCTAACAAATCAGGTAATTGTTCAAATAATATAATATGAAAGGGCTCTTTATTATTCTGAGAAATCCTACCCCAAAGTAAGCACTGTAATAGTACAGTCAATCTGTCGAAAAAAATATCGTTTCAGTGAAAAAAAAAACCTAAAGGGTAAGTCTTGTTTTTTCTGTTGCCAAATGACGTCAGTAAGCCACCTTGGCGATGGGAATGTTCAACTCGTAGGCGTTTTTTGAAAAACTCAAAAAATCCGTCAAAAATTTTTTGAAACGCATTTTTCTTGTTTTGTATGCATTTTAGAAACTTTTTTTTTACCATAATTGTAGAGGGCGACATTTATCAACTATGCAGATCATCATCAGCCTATTAATGTCCCCACTGCTGGGGCACAGGCCTTCCCTATGGATGGAATAGGGAGCTTGAGCCATGACCCACCTTTGAGTGATGATTGGTGGCTGCTAACGACTGCAGACGCAGCCGGGACCAACGGCTTAACGTGCCTTCCGAAGCACGGAGGAGCTCGAGATAGTAAATTTTTGGTCACCCATCCAATGACTGACCACTGCGAAAGTTGCTTAACTTCAACGATCGTAGCCGAACCCGCTAACCACTTGCACTATCGAGCTTATAGTAGCATTCTTTATCATCCCTGTATATATTTCTGCTGGAAACTTTTCGTTTAACGACTTTGGAATAGTTTAGACAATTATGTTCGGTCCACGCTGCATTCGTTCATTGCTTAAAACACTTCTGCGGGGAAAATAGTTTTGCTTTAAAAGCAAAACTATTTTCTTAGTTACCTAGCACAAAGTTGTGGTAATACTGAATTTCTTCAAAGTTGTTCGATTTTGATTATAGTAGGGGTGATGACGGGGTAAAGTAAACGAAATTCTATTTAGTCCGTCAGTTAGATGATCAAAAAATAATGGACACGTATTTTTTCTTTGGGCAATCAACCAAAAAATGACAAAGTTATAGCGCGTCAAAGTTTGGGAGTAGGGGCTCGTGACGTCACTTTTGAGTGAATTTACACTTATATGTACACTCAAACGTGACGTCATGCGACTTTTCAAATCAATATATCTCTGCAATGTTTATATTATGTGAAAAAAGAAAAAATACGTGTCCAATACTTTTTGATAATCTACCTGATAAACGAAGAAAAAAAAATAGTCATCATCCTTATTGTAGCTACATAAAAGTCTATCTGAATCTCATTTGCAGATAAGTTAACGGCCTTGTAAACGATAAAAGTGTTTGACAAATTTACGTGTTTTTTAAGTTTACTGCTATGTTTGACGCGTTTGATAAACAAATTACTGTGTGAAACGTGAAATTTATCAATCGAATTTGTCTAACCTCTCCTTGCTTTTATTGTTTGGTACCAGTAATTCTATATGTAACTGAGACTTGTACACGGAACAAATATTTGTTAAAATTAATATTTTCACTAACTTCCCGCTTCCTGCAGGTGAACGACGTTATTCAAATATTAAAAATATATACTCTCAATTGTCTAAAATATCTTTAATGTGTGATATTTTCGGTATAAAAATTAGAGCGTTTTTTTTTTAAAACTTTCCAATTAGCCTAGCTTCAAAGTAAAGCACTGTAAGGCTTGTGTTATGGGATGCTAGGATAACGGATAGAATACATATACTGTACATATATAAGTGTATTTATAAAGAAATAAATATTTTACATCCATGACTGGAGTAGAAATGCTCGTATTCATCACACAAACATTTGCCCCCACCGGGATTCGAACCCGGGACCTCTTGAGTCGGCGACACCATGAAACCCGGCGTACAAACCACTCGACCACGGAGGTCGTCAAATTAATAAAGCCTGAGCTCTGAAGGTTTAAAAATTGAGTAATACAGTGCAACGATTAGCTTAAAGATATTTTGGTTACGATATTTGGTGTGCAATCACGTTATTTAAGCAACAATTACAATGTCTTGACGTAGGATACGAAAAAGTCGATACCTGCAAGGAAAAACCACGTAACTCAGGTGATAACTAAGTAACAGTGATATTTTTACTTGAAAAACAGCTTGATTTATTACACTGATCCATGCCTAATTCCTTTCCATTCAAAAAACAAAATATTTTTTTTTATACGACGAATAAAATCGTTAAACAAAATAATATAATCTTGTCATTTATTATTGCGCGTCAGCATGTCATTGTAACTTATGAAATTTATACTTTACGCACGAAAAACCACGTAACTCAGGTGATAACTAAGAAACATTGATATTTTTACTTGAAAAACAGCTTGATTTATTACACTGATCCACGCCTAATTAATTCACATAAAAAAAAAACAAAATTAAATTTTTAATACGACGAATTAAATTGTTAAACGAAATATAGCTAGTTATTCATTATTGCGCGTCAGCATGCCATTGTAACTTATGAAATTTATACTTCAATAACTTCTTAAAAATAAAGGAAATCGGCAGTATTTTCTTCTTTTTAAGCTTTCCTGTGAAGTGACTAAAACAAACTTACGATCTTCTTCGCTGCTTCAAAATTAATCTGTAGCCGTTATCACCCATCAATCCACATCGAGGGCGGGCGATGGGTTTTATCCCATTCACTATTCTGCTTAAAAGAAGAACTTATACCCTGTGCCTCAGCTGTGAAGCAGCTATATCCATGATAATTACTCCATGTTTAAGAAATAATTTACTAAGCTATTTATAAAAAAAAAATGGATGCGTGTAACTTATGTACGCGCGTGAGAAGTTATACTTCTTTAGCATCATTAAAAATATTTTTTAATTGCATGCAAATAATTAATAATTGCAATAAAATAATAAAAGGACTGGAAAAGGATAGTTAACACAGTCAATTAAGTTCAGTTTTAATTTGAAAAATTAAATAAATATTCAAAATATTCAATTAAAATCACTACTGAATTTAAGTTATTAGTCCATATGTAATTAGCACTTGTAAGTAACTAAAACACGTTGTGTCTATATAGAAACTAGAAACATGTGGATGAATATTATAAATATGATCAGAGGCGACTAGCGTGCCAACATTGTTTTTGACAACGCGATCATCTTATGGAGCTCCGTGGATCGTTCAAAGTACCTTTCGAACAAATGTCTATAATTCATAACGCGCCCGCGGCCAACTTCATGGTGTTACTATTGTGTTACAGTGATGCGCGCGCATCTCGAAATTTCACTCACATGATTTTTTCATAACGCGCCCGCGGCCAACTTCATGCTGTTACTTTTGGGTTACAGTGATGCGCGCGCATCTAAAAATTTCACTCTCATCATTTTTTCTTAACGCTCCTAAAGAAGTATAACTTCAAAAACTCTTACACATCTGCTTTTGACGACAATTCAAACATGAATGGCGCAAGCATCTTTCGATTCGTTATGAGATACGGAATCAAGGACTCTCTTGCTCCAATAAAATTATCATCGCAGGTATAATAAACATATGTAAAAGATAATATTATAAGGGTTGCTGCTTCAGTGATTTCGAATACATATTGGCAATTACTACTCATGGGAAAAACAAGGAAGTGGTCGGAATTATTAGAAAATAGCATCCTAATATTTTCCTGTGTATTTCCCGAGTTGTTTATATTCATATACTAGTGGCCCGCCCTCACTTCGCTTCGGTGTAGAGTCTAGACTATAGTTTTTGTTCTCAGGCTTGTACTATACACAATGACATTCTTCTAATACCTAATTACAATAGGCACGCGCCGCCAAGCCCCCCGCCCGGTAGCGGCGGAACCGCTATGTCCCTGCATTTTAAATCAGTAATATCTTCGAAAATATTCATTTACATTACATGCGTTAAAGGGCCATATTGGTCTAAATTAGATGCACAATGTATTGAACGCACTTAATTGGATAAGGATGAATGTAATATTGCTGAAAATCGCTTCGTAAATAATCTATTATTTCTCGTAAAAGTTTAGGATAAAAAATGGTTATTGTGGGTTATTCCTGAGAGATAGACATATACCATCGTGGACTTTTTTGTAAACCTTTTTAAGGTGTACAATACTGTTGTACATTATTTTGATCTATCTCGTAGGGTTCAGCCAGCGTTTGCAATGTTAGCGCATAAAAATGTGTTTATTTGCGACCTTGCATTAAAAACCTCTAAAATTATCAGTGTTTCTCCGCTATATTGTGCATGTGTTATACATATAATCCTTCCTCTTAAATCACTATCTATTAAAAAAACCGCATCAAAATCCGTTGCGTAGTTTTAAAGATCTAAGCATAAATAGGGACAGACAGCGGGAAGCGACTTTGCTTTATACTAGCTTAAGAAGCTTGTTCTGCTAATTAAGGTTGGTGTAGCAGTTTATTACTGCTGTACCAGCTATTTTCGCGTTTGGACTTTATCACCACTTAACAGCAGGTAGGGTAGAGTCATTTGCCTACCTAGCAATATTTAAAAAAAAATACCTCGTTCTCGATCGACGAATGGACATAATTTTGTTATAGATAAATATACAACGGTTTTTATGGTTTTGTTAATTAAAAACCACATTTAATTTTGTTCTGAAAATAAAAAATAAATAGCTCGTTCTTTCAGAAAAAAGGTTAAAAAAAAAGTATTTACCAGCCAGTTAAAAAAAGAATACACGTCATTAAGATTTATAGCATGACACACTCAGATAAATAGGCTTAGATTTGGTCATTGTAGATTTAAATCGCATTTGCACCTTATGCGGATGATAACGTCACCATTATGCACTGAATGCACATCACAAGAAGATCAAACACTGGGCCACATCTTCTTTTCTTGTCCAGCTTTCAACATTCAGAGACTTATTCTAATAGATCGACTTTTGACCAAATCACAGATCATCTCGCCTTCGCTACAGGACATCCTAGCAAGCTCAGAAAACTTTTTACCTATTTACGAATTTATAAACTCAACACTTGGAGAAATATAATAAAACAACCTCGGACTTTACTACAATATATAATGATTATGACCACTCCCGGACAGAACGAAATATTTTATATTTCACTGAAGATTTTGCTTATAACCTATAAACAAAAACAAAATAACAGATTTGGCTTTTTTTTTTTTTTTTTTTTTTGTTTCCTCCCAGGCGGGGGAGAGGGTGAGAAATCCTCATGGATACCCTACAGCCGGCTGTAGGGTTATGTCAGACTCCTACTGACTAAAAAACACCCTTTATTCATGCTTATGGCCAGAAGGGCCTTACAAGCTTCATCTGAAGCGATCACCCCCCGAGAGGGGGATGATGCGGCGCTGCGTTAGTTTAAACTAGTGCATAGTTTAAAATAACGCAAAATGCGCTTAGAGGACAAGTGCACTCAGATGTGCACTTGAAACGGGAGGGGACTGAGAGGGATCGAACCTCTCTGTGTCGGGGGGGCGGGGGGGACTCATCGCGGGTGTTGGATCCTCAGCGGCCAAGAGGGCCGCGAGATCGCGCGTGAGTTTGTTGTGTGTGGCTGTGAGTGCGTGTTTGGGCCTGCGGGGCCTGAATCGAGATGGAGTGTGTGGAGCGTATCCCGACGCCGATCTAATGAGTGTGTTAGAGTGCTCTTCTGCAGCTTTGAAGAACCGTTCCGAGCACTCTGTGAGGTGTGTTTGAATTGTGTCGAGTTGAAGGTCCCTGTGGAGGTCCGCGTTGCGGACGTACCACGGGGCCCCTGTGGCTATGCGGCAGAAGCGATTTTGAAGCACTTGAAGTTTGTTCAAAATCGCTTCGTCCGCGTGTGCGAACACTGGTGACGCGTAAGTGAGGACCGGGCGTATGCAAACTTTGTAAAGCGTTCGCTTGTTACGAAGTGACATTTTGCTGTATTTACCGAGCATCGGGTGGAGGCGGCTCATATAAAAGCGCGCGTTCGCGACTACGCGTGTGATGTGTGCACGGAAGGTGAGTTTTTTGTCTAGTGTGATCCCTAGGTATTTGACTGTGCGGTGCCACGGTATTGCTATGCCTTGCATTCGCAGAGACCGCGCACCGTGTTGTATGGTTTTGGTGCGGCGCTTGGGATCGAAGCAAATGGCCGAACTTTTGTCCGGATTTACGTCGATTCTCCAATCGCGGAACCAATTCCCAAGTGTTGTGATTGCCGGTTGGAGCTTGGCTATGATTTGATTGGTACTGGCTCCCCTAGAGTAGAGGGCCGTGTCGTCCGCGAAGAGAGCGAGCTCGACACCCTTGGTCTGAGGGATGTCGTTGGTGTACGCTGTGTATAGCAGGGGGGAGAGAGCGGACCCCTGCGGTACACCGGCTCGTAGTGGGCGGGGCGTTGATAGTGAACCTTCGTATCTATAGCGGAAGGTGCGGTTTGATAGAAAAGAGGCTACTAACCTAACTAGGCGGTCAGGTAACTCTAATTGATATAATTTAAAGATTAAACCGTCGTGCCAAACCTTGTCGAAGGCTTTGGCGACGTCGAAGAAGACTGCAATAGTTTTATATTTATTAAGTTGGAAGCCGCTTAGGGCGTGCTCCACTATGCGATGGATCTGTTGGGGGCAGGAGTGTTTGGCTCTGAAGCCGAATTGGTGGTCAATGATAATAGGATCGGATGGTGATAGGAGGTGCTCTCTTAGTCTGGTCAGTATGGTTTTTTCGAAAAGTTTCGCCATTGCCTTGAGGAGGCTAATAGGGCGATGGCTACTGGGGAGGTGCGCGGGTTTTCCGGGTTTGGGGATGCCTATCACTATTGCTTCTTTCCAGGCGGCTGGGAAGTAGCACAGATCAAAACATGCGTTAAAGAGAATTGCAAGCAAGGTTAGCATTTGGATGGGAAAATGCTTGAGCGCCTTGTTAGAGATGCCGTCGGCGCCCGGGGCCTTGCGTTGCTTAAAGTTTCTAATGGTCTGTCTGAGTTCGTCTGTCGTGACGGGGTCTAGGGGGTTGTCAATGAGTGGAAGGGCGGCCCGCCGGCGGACCTCCTCCTCCACTCCGCGAATATGTTGCGGGTTAGTTTCCTGCGTACTAGGCGTGCATTGCGCCGCTATGCTGTCTGCAAAACACTCAGATTTTTCGTCGTCTTCGAAGGCGACGGTGCCGTCGGGGCGAGTGAGCGGGGGGGTGTGAGTGGTGACGTCGCTACGGAGCGCTTTCGCGATTCTATAGTACGCAAGATGGGATGGGGTAATGTCCGCCATGAGTTCCTCCCAACGGGAGTGTCTCAGAGCGGCTAATTGGGACCTAACTTGTCGCTGAAGGCGATTAGCTGAAGCCCTATACTCGGGGGTGGGGTATAATTTGGCTCTCCGGAGAGCGGCGTTTTTGGCTTGGATTAGGTTCCGGATGGCCAGCGGGAGCTTGGGCTTTGGCAGCTCAACCTCCCGCGAGTTCTCCTTCGCCTTCTCGGTCACCAGTAAAGTTAAAGACTCTATAGTTTCGTCAATCTTGTCGGTGCTGTCGAGACTGTCCGGTGAGTTAGGGAACGGGGAATCGGGGGAGTCTAAAGCGGTCTCGAGAGCGGAGCGGTATCCGTCCCAGTTGGTGAATAACCTCTTAGGGGGCGCGGGGGCGTCTAGTGGGTCTTGGGGACCTAGAACTAGAGACACCGGTCTGTGATCTGACCCCAGGTCGTCGAGTGTTTCGATCGAGCTGAGGCGAAGCGACACGTTTTTAAGGATCGCGAAGTCCAGGACGTCGGGTCGGTTTTGTACATTGTCTGGGTAGTGGGTGGGCGCGAAGGGACATATGACATCATAGCCAAGCTCCTCGGTGATGTGTAGTAATCTGCGGCCAGAGGTGGTGGTGGTCTCGCATGTCCAGTCGGTGTGTTTGGAGTTAAAGTCACCG